AGCCCAAAACCCTATTTTAAACATTAGACTTCGCCCAAGAGAGGCATGTAATGTTTTAGAGAGTACTTTGGCAAGAAAAATAAGTGTGAGAGATCACCCAAAACATCATATTTTTTTCTTCACTTTATTTTTATTGCAATTTTGATCATGAATATTTTCATAGTTTATTTACTCATTGTCATGAGTAGCTAAATCCTTTGTGTAGGGTTTTGATGGAACCTCTTGAAGGATGAACTTCTTGATTATGTTAATATAGTTTGCCAGTTTAATCTCTATTTGTTCAACTACGTGTTTGTTGTAGTTAATTGACAGGATCCTCAATTAGCTCTGCCTAGTTAGTGTGCATAACTCGGGAGAGAGCGCATATTTAGGTGATTGTTGAACAACACCACTCCCAAAGTATAAGAGGGATCTATAATCGAGGGTTTAAAGGCGGGATTAGGGATAACGAAGCCTTGGGTGCGATCTGAAGTGAGTTGCATTAAAAGCCAGCTAGCGTAACTCGGGAGAGTGCGTCTAGTAAATTGTTGTGATTACTCGGGAGAGAATTACAACACGCAAAGTGCTCATGATCGGTAGAGAATACTTAGGCAAAATTATAGAAGACATAGAGGGAAGGATTCCGATAATTGAGGAAATCTTAACTCTAGACCTCCTTAATCTTCTCTCCAACCTGTAGTATCTTTAGTTGTTAATCTACTAATTTAATTATTTAATTAATTAGATATAAGAATCTTAATATTTATAACTTAGGAATTGTTAGAGCTTGTCTTCTTAGCAATATTGAACAGTTGTAGTTAAGCCTTAGTTCTCTGTGGGATTCGACTCCGGACTTGTAAACCGGATTATATTTGCAACGACCGCATTGTCCTTTTATAAGGCATAGCTGGGCATGATCAAGTAACAATTAATTTTATATGCGGTTTAAAGGCTACATGATTTAATTTAATACGAGTGATCAAAGAACAACAAGTAATTGAATTAAAGGAAAACAAAACAATCAAACCAAGTGTGACGAAGTAATTAAGTCTATCGTCATATTTGAATGCTAAAGATCAGTTCCAATCAAGTCCTCGGAATGGAGCTCAATTGTAACTGAATAGATGAACAACTTGAAGAACACTTGAACAATTGCTAAAAGATAAAAGTGAACTTTATTGCTTTGATATGCGTGCCAACTATGAACCAAAAAATGAAAAGGTTCCCCCTCTTTATATAGTAAAGGAGTTTCAACCCTAATACAAATCTAAATAAGGTAAAAAAAAATTCTTCCCTTTTTTACCGAGAAAACACGATTCGCAGTTAATATCGGGTATGATTCGTGTCGTAATATCCGGCTAATGGTGGATATTTCGGCTCCTCGTTTTCCCCTTTAATCGCCTTCCCTTTAACCCCGATTCTTTGTTTTGCTCGAGCTTAGTTCTTCCCATGTTTGGCCATGCTCGATTTCAGGCGTATCACTTATCCACCTCCAGGCTCCGATCCGCGAGCACCCGCGGTTTTACCCGAGCCAGCGACGAATCACGTTGCTCCTTGTTTCTTTATCTGAAAATCGGGGGTAATTTTATCCCCAATTTCACCCGTACTCAATGCAAAATCATTGATCATTTCCCATAATATCAAATTTTTACAAATAGATTGATCTTTCTGACGTTTTCGTTTTGAATTGGTGTAGTTTGAATGACAATCTCTTTTAGAGTACCATCGACCTGGTTGAGTTTCTGCAACTCTATCGGGGAAAAATATAAAAATATATATGATAGCCATAATTAGGGCTATTATTTAGAATATAGTTAGTGCCTAGCTAAATTAGGGTTGTGTATTTGGATCGGATATCTGAAATCCGAACCGATCTGTTCTATTTCGGATTACGAATTTCGAATTTCAGATATTTGGATTGGATTTCGGACTATGTTTATTAAAAATTCGGATATCCGGATCGGATTTGGATTGGTAGAATTTTGACCCGATTTGATCCGAAATTCGAAATTATTAGGGCATGTATAGATATTAAACTTTAATTTCGGATAGCCTATCTTCCTTTACATCTTTCTCCAAGTTATTACTTTTACAATTGCTAGATTTAGCTACACTGGCACCATAGTACCCTCATAATTGCAGAAACATGAATTTTTCTTGCTGTATTGCCTCTTCTACAAAGAAAATATAAGTATGAGTTTTGCAACTTAGAGGCATAACAACTCGAACCTCGAGAGAAATATTTTCTTAGAGATGCAATGCTGATAAAAGGGATAAAAATATTTGTATTAGCACAGAACAAAGATGAAGCAGATAAGGCAGATACATTAGCCGATTAGATTAGCAATAACCTTAATAATACGTATAATCCGATCCGAAAATCCGAAATATTTATCAGATCCAAACTTTAAAATTCGATCCGATCCGATATTAATTCGGATCGGATTCGAATTGTGTTTTGTAGAATCTGAAATCCGAAATTTCAATTCAAAAATGTGCTAAATCTGATCCGATTCGATCTATGCACAACTCTAAGTTAAAAACACTGAAGTTCAATCTTGTTAGTAATTTTTCCCGAATTTTGAGCTGTCACACGAACGCCAACAAATTTCTCTTGAAGTTGACACTGGCACGCTTAAGGAAAATTTCCTGAACTTCAAAGAAAATTGATTGTGTTCGAGGAAAATCTATTGAATTTGAAGAAAATTGCTTGAAATTCAAACTGCGACAGTTTGAACTTTAAGAAAATTGTGTGCATACATATTGGTAGTCGCTACAAGAAGAAATATTCCATAGTCCTGTCTAGGGGTGACAATCGAACGGGGTTGGATTGGATATGGACAGGTTGAAAATGGGTAATATAAAAACGAATAAAATATCAAACCCGCGCATATTTAATACGGATCCATATTATCCACAGCTTCTTGAATATGATCACTTTTAGGAGAATTTCTAGTTTCCCAAATTTGAGGAACCCTGAATTTGAGTCTTTGCAAATGTAAAAGTTAAGCTCATTGGTTATCTATTATGTACTTATTTTTTAAGTGGATAATATGAATCTTATACATATTTGACCCTTTTAAAAAGTTAATTATCCAACTCATTTTTAGTGGATAATTATTTTTAAATCCGTTTTGACACCACTAGTCCTGTCTATGCATCTACTATCTTTCTTGTTTGTGCAAAGAATAAAGGGGGAAGTATACAAATAGTCATTTTTAGGACTGCTATTTAGGATTTAACCAGTATTTATTTTGTCCTGAAAATTTGAACTAAAATCTTAACTTCAGAACTTTGTGTCCTGAAAAATTAAATTGAAAAGCTGAAATTCAGAACACACTGGCTAATTTCTAAATGACAGCCCTCTGGAATAGCTAGCGTGTGAAATTCAGAAATAGCCAGATTTACAAGTGGTCATTCCAAAATAGCTACAGTTTCAAAAGTAATCGAATTTTAGCCACTTTTCATCTAAAGATAAATCTGAACGAAAATATTGTTCAAAATCCAGAAAATACTCCAGCATAATATATTGGAGTTCTAGCATAAGTATACTGGAACTCCAGCATATTAAAATGGAGTTCCAACATAAGTATATTGGAACTCCAACATAATATACTGGAGTTCCAGTATAATATACCGATCAAGTATAATATGCTGGAAGTTCATACACAGGTATTCCAATCTCTAGTATATTATGCTGAAACTTCCCATGTGTTGGAGTTCCAGCATAATATGCTGGAAGTTCATATACATGTGCACCGATCTCCAGCATATTATGCTGGACCGATCCCTATTGCAGCAAAATAGTGGCTATTTTTCAATGACTTTGCAAACACTAACTATTTTTGAATGACCAGTCCGAAAACTGGCTTGCCCATGCTATTTTAACATAGCTAACTGGTAGGGGTATACATATGCCGGGTTGATTCGGATTTTACAATCACCAAACCAAACCAATTGTGTCGGGTTATTAAATCTAAAGACCAAACCAGACCAATAAAACTCGAGTTTTTCACTCTCGGTTTTTCTCGGGTTTTCTCGGATTCTCGGGTTATTCGAGTTTTTTTCGGTAAATCTTTGTAGAACAAAATATATAAATGTGCTCAAAATATTTCTTTAGTCCTAGTAAGATACAACTATATAAAGTATTTTTCAAGAAAATAATACAAAATATGAGATATGTCATGTCATTATCCTAAAATATTCAACAATAAAGACAATAAAATTATGTAATATAAATATTGCTAATTAAAAAGCCATAATAAAAATAAACATAATCTAAAAGTGCTAAATCATACTAAAATAAGTAGACTAATAAGGGAGTATTAATTACATGACTAAACGCTAAAGAAAAAATAAAAATATGTTATATATTTTTATCTAAATTATTGCAAAACAAAAAATAGATATTCAATACATTCCCGTTCGTAGTATTGAATTGAATGTTTTTTGTTAGTATTAGTATTGATTTGAGTTTGGTTTGAGCTTTTGTTAGCACTATTTAATTTGGGAACTAATGTTTATGGCTATAAAACTTAGTAAATTAAATAAGAACATTCAAAAGTTCTAAGTCCAACCTTGAAATAGTACCTCAAAAGATAAAATTATGAAATATTTTAAGAAATATTTATAAATTACATCACAATAAGTATATTTATATATTAAATATATCTAAATTTTTTATATATGTAATGTCGGGCTGGTTTAGTTTCGGTTTGACTTTCTTTAGTTAAAACCAAACCAAACCAATTATGATCGGATTTTTTTTCCAATACCAAACCAAATCAAACCAAACCATAGTCGGATTTTTTTCTCGATTTTGACTCGGATTATCGGGTTGGTGCGATTTGTCGGTTTTCATGGTACACCCTTACTGGTATCATTTCTACATATAACCCAAACTATTTGGGCTTTAGTGAACTGGAGTAAACGAAAATGGACTTTAGTAGGCCCATGGCCCATTTTGGTTAAACTCCATATTCACATCTTGGAGCGGGAAAAAATAAACCCAAAAAATTTGAACCTCCTCTTCTCTTACTCTCACTCACACTGAACTCTCAATTTCCGGTGGCTCTCCGGCGATTCCTCTATTACTCTCTTTCAAAAGCTTCAATTTGGTCACCGTAATTGCTAGATCTGAATTCACCTCCTTGTTGAAAATAGGTTATTCTTTTTTTGCATTTGGGTGCTCCAAATATAAGAATTTAGGGTTTCCTAATGAATCTTTTTGCTGTTGGATTTCTCATAAGATGAGAAAAGAGCAAGAAGAACCGAGCAGCAGCGGGTTTCATAATTTACAGCCACATCGAGACCTCGAATCGAATTGGGGGGTTGACGTGGCCAAAAATTTAGAAGACTATTTGCTTAAAATCTGTTCTGGTGAAATTGCTGATGATGCTCATTGCCTTTCTGTCAATTTTGCTGAAGGTTGGTACTTTTTATTTTCAGCGTAATAATATTTCCTATTTCATGTGGTTCCTAAATATGTAATTTTTATTTCAAGAAAATGAAGAAATTTGCAATGTTGTAGTATTAATGTTTCTGTTTTAATTGTTTGGGACGCGTAGCTGCATTGCTTCTTCAGGGATCAGTTCAGGTTTACAGCAGGAAGGTTGAATACCTATATTCATTGGTATTACATGCCTTGGAGTTCATTACACAGAAAAGGTTCTCTCTTTCTTTTGATTATTTTAAGTAAAACTGGTTTTTTTTGTTGGGTGGTAAACAGTTTTAAAATTTAATTCCGTGGCTCTTTTTGTCTTCCTTTACCATGTAAAAGATCAGTCGCGCACTGCATTTTTTTATATGGGGTTAGTTAGCTCTGCTTGAGCTTCATTATGGGATTAGCTGCTGTGACTGTTAGGTCCTTCAACAGTTAGTAACACATTAGGAGTGTTATGATAGCTGTTAAACAATCTGATCATGAACTTGAATTTATTGAAACTACTACTAGAGCTTCCTTGAATTTCATAGTATTCATGAGTAGAACCTTTTCCTACACTGGTTAGTTGAATTTAAGTTCCAACCCGTAGATAATCAATTGGGAGAGTTGTATTGATATGATCGGTGGTCAGTGGTCACAATGAGATGTGCACATTACAGCATCTTGATGACATTCCTCATACTTTTGGTCTGAAATTTAGGTTGTTTCTCTAGGTTATTGATGTTTACCTATATTTTTAATAGTGGGTATGTCCACTGAGGAATTAAGAAACAAGTTATATTGAAGTCTTACACGAAAACTTGTGCGAGGCGATCTGAACTAACTGGAGTTAGGAGGAGCAATGGTGTTTCAGAGACAAGTGTCAAGTGTTATGGCACTTTATAAGTGTCTCTCTCGAAAAAGTAAGAATTGAAGCTCTTGCAAGATCTGATTACAGCAAATGCTTTTCACAAGGATACCATTCTCATTACTCTTCCATCCCCATCTATGTATCATCTTTTTCCTTTTTGAGACATCTGAAAAGGATTGTCAGGGTTTTACTAATAATTGTTTCTACACAAGTTTCACAAATTTTAAGAATTCAATTACTCCAAGTTAAACTTTGATGTTATTAGATACCACTGCCACCTATATGATACATAACCAAAATTAATATTTTACACTACATGCCAAACACAGTTGTGCCATATAAAAATGTGACGAAGGTATTAATTTGGTTCCAATCTTGAGGGCAGGCTGCTGGAAAATAATTCATCTAACTGGTTGTTGATACATTATGTATTTAACTGCGAAGAAAAAAGGATTGCAGTACAGCTCATAATACTTATCCAGTGCTTATATACTAAAAACTGAAAACCAGTAATGTCATATTGTCCATAAAATCAGCGAGCAGGACCACCCAGAAAGTGCATCATCACAGGCAGAGGAAAATGCTAATGATGAAGAGAATGATCCATTCTGGGTCTCAGAAGAAATCCCTGGTAGTTCTTTATTTCTCTGCTGTTTGGTTGAATAACTACAATTCAAAATCACCATCTTCACCATCATCTTTATAAATTTTGTTTCGCAGTGGAAGCAAAGAACATGCTCGATAGTGCCCATAGGGATTCTTCACTGACCCAGTTAGTGAAAGCCCCTGCAAATCTGGTTGTCCGTGAAGGTGATTGTCTGGACTCTACTGGAGATTCAGGAGAACTAGAGTCTTACTTGGTATGGTACTGTTTCTGTCTGCAGTATAAGTAAAGTTGCTGTTATATTAAGTAGTTATATTATTACTTGCAGCTAGCCACTTGTGATCTTTACCAAGATTTTATTCTGTTGGACTCCTGTGATGCTGTAGCAGTAGATTTTTTGAACAACGATGATATTGCGGGGAAGGGGCTAAACAATAGCTGCAGGGGTGGCTCTGTAGGTTCCAAACATCGAAAGAGCTTTCTCTCTCCCACTAGAGTTACTGAGGGCACCGCCAACAAGTTTTCAGCTCAAAAGAGCCACGATGCTAATTTTTGTATGTCACCAAGGGTTGAGCCTGAGTTTGGTCCTGCAAGTTATAATGGTGATCGTGACATGCCTGATAATTACGAAAATGGTAATTGTGATATGCCTGATAATTACGAGGATGGACATGGAGGTGACGATGGATACCCAGAACCTAGAGGTTCAGATAACTCTGACGATGAAGACTCATGGAAACCCTTGAATCCCCATGAACCTGGCAATTTGAAAGTAAAACCTTACAGAAAAGGTTGCAAAGCTTCCTTTCCTATTATGTGCTTCTCTTTAACTGTTAATTTTGTGATCTAATATATAGATTTCATGCATTCAAGCAGTTAATTTTAATAAAAGGCAGGGTGTGGATTCCAGAAAACGTGCATCTTTGGCTACAGAGTTTACACTTGCAAGATTACATGGTACCATCAGTTCAGATCTAAATGATATATGGGAGAAAAATTATTGTGCCATGAAAAAGCAGGGAGACTCACAATCTCCTCCTTATGAGAAGGTTTTGTTTATTGATCTTGTATTTGTGTGTAATATTGCATGTCCAAATTGTTTCATTGTATTGAGTTTCTTTTTGCAGCTGCGAGAATCACTTATTAGGGGGGTGAACGAAGATTATGATGACCTGTTTAGTTCTAAGGAAAACAATGAAGAAAATGAATATGATAGTGGAGATCATGATTTTGGGCAACCTGATTATGACGTACCAGAATTGGCAGATGCGAATGAGGATGTAACTCAACACGGTGAAAAGGTTTGGTAAACTACATAGGCTGTTTTACAATTTTATAAATGTGTATTCAAGCTGGCTCAATCTGGCATGGACAAGTTATGCTCATATATTCTCATTCTGCAGCAAAAAGATTATGGTTCACCCTTTGACAGTGGTGCTCATGAATATCCCGATGCTCATGCAAACCTTGAAGATCTTTGTCGCTCCCACTTAGTAAGAATAAAAATGCTAATTTTTTAAAAATTTGTGATGCAGAAAATAATGTTGTTAAATTTATTTTTTTACGTTATTTTTGCTAGCTTGTAACNTTACACTATCTTTTCAATCCAAAATGGGACAAGATGGCGATTCACTAACATGGCGTCTAAACGTCTTATCATGGTGTTGTTAAAGGCATTGTTTAATCCTTGAATCCAGCATTGTAACTGGGGTGCTTCGTCTCGCTTATGTGGTACTTTAATGCAACTATGCTAGCACCAAAGACATTAAGCCGTCTGCCTTTGTCCAAGAACTTCATCTTGAGAAGGGTACCACTAGACAAGGAAATATAGCTGGCAAAGCATATGTTAATTGTTAAAAGAAATCTTATGGATGAACAAGTTAGTTATGAAGATCATGAAATTAGACCTTTAATATAAGAAAGGTGGTTACTCACTCTGTCCCAATTTATGTGGCATCATTTGACCGGGCACGGAAACTAAGAAATAAAGAAATAAAGAAAGACTGGAAATTTGTGGTCCAAACCAAGTTTTAGGCATTTGTGTGGCTATAAATCATCTCAATTCACGGTCAAAAGGGAATTCTAAATTCAAATTATTTCTAAATATAGAAAGTCGATATCCTTTTTGGGACAGATTAAAAAGGAAAGTGTGCCACATAAATTGGGACAAAAGGAGTACTAAACATGCATCTAAATAAGAAACTTTAAGGGGTTTTGAATTTGATTTGTATGGTTTTTAGTTTGCATAATTCACTTAATGGCAAGTTCTTTCAATTCATTGTCCATATAATTGCGTTTGCATTTTACATCTTGTTTTCCTGTATTACATATATATATTTGCTTCGTCTGATTTATCTGTTGTGATGGTATTTGATTCGAAACAGAAATTTATAAAGGAAAGCTCATAAGTTAAAAATATAACAAACCAAAAATATCTCTAGTGGTTTTCAACATGTCATGTCACCCCATTAGAGATTTGTTTTTGGGAAATAAAAGAAACCATTAGAGCATTTCATTAAGGGCAAATGCAAAGGTTAAAGAGCTCTCAAATATTGAAACGTGTCTAGTTTTAGAACATACTAAAGATGAAGTATCAATGGAGGCATATGTTTTGTGTTTGCTCGTTCTTTAGGAAAGCATGCGCTCTAAATTCACACTTAAAGTTCTATAAACTAACAATGAAGTATCAATGGAGGGAGTATCTTTTTCGTTTGCTCCTTTATTACTAAAATATTTGCTCTGAAATTGCACTTAAATTTCCTTTAGGCCTTGACACATTTTCGTGCTTTTCTCCTTTGACCACAATGGCTTATTAGTTTCCCAAAAATTCATAAAAATGTTATTTGCTACTTATTTGGATCTTTTTTTGGTCTTGACTGATCATCTTTGTAACCTAATGTTTTGTCTAGGATGCTCTTCTAGATAACCTTGCTGAAACTGAAAAGCAGAGTGAACTGGCTGCTCGAGTTTCAACATGGAGCAGGAGAATTGAGCAGAACTTGGAGGAACAAGTATGTAGTCCAACAGTACCCATTCTTATGTTCTCTGTTGAGTTAAGGCTCTTAATGCTCCAGTGTTTGCATACAGGACTCACATCCACCCTTTGATATTGCTGAATATGGGGCTCGGGTTTTGCGCAAGTTATCGCTGGAAGGGAATAGTACAAACTCAATGTCCTTTTCTGATGTTGTCATGGGCCAAAAGAAGCATGAGGTTGCTCGAACATTTTCTGCACTTCTGCAATTGGTATAATCCCTTGTCGAGGAATTACAACTTTGAGTCAGCTTTAGCTTAAAATAGATAGAAGAACATAAAGTTCTCTTTTTCGCCAGTGGCTTCTATGGGCAGTATTATCCTTTTATGTTCTTGTTTATTGAATAAAATCTTGCAGGTAAATAATGGTGATGTTGATTTGGAAAAGGGTAGAACAAATGAGTTCACTTGTTACACAGCTGTGAATCCCTTCTATGTTCGACTCCTTAGGCGTGATAATAGGGCGAAGATGCAGCTTCAGTCTCCGAAAGAGAGAGCAAACTCTTCCATTTCCAATCGGAACATTAGAAAGCGAAAGAACAAAGGTAAAGAAAACCAAGCACCCTTTGGCTCATCGCCTTCAGCACCCAATTCATCTTGCAGATTTGCACTGAAGTTTGGAAAGGTTAGCGGAACTAGGTGCACGCCTGAGAGCAAAAAAAGAAGGAAGTCCAGAATAGTGGAACCAGTTGAATTGCATACTGCATTGTGATGTATATCCTCTACTGTCATGTATGCCAATCTTCTCTCTCTCACAAGATGTACTTGTAATGATAAATGATAACCAATTTTTTCCCCAGAAAACTAATAACCAATTGGCTGCTGAAATTTTGTACTATTTCTTCTTAACTTAATTAGGCTCAGTGTTGTGCTTAGCAAGGACGACTGTAACCGTTTTTTAGGTGTTGCAGAGCTAACTTTAAGTTGATCATTTCCATGGAGAAACGAGTGTAATATGTCAAGAGTTTCCAGTTATGTACCTAGTGTGTGTATGTAGGCTAAATAGATTAAACCAACAAACGAATGGTAACCATTGTTTCTACAGAAGCTCAAGTTTAACTTTCTCAAGACTTACGTTCCAGAAATGGTTACAATTGTTGCAATGGTAACCATTGTTTTTTTTCCCCGTCTGGGATATGTGAACTACAGCTGATACAATGAGTGAGAGAGAGTGTGTGTGTGTATCTGTGTGTGTGATCCAGGTGGTTTATTCAGCCAACGAAGAGTCACTCTTATACTAGTGTCACAGTATTTATGTTTTCTTGATCTTGACATGGATGTATTGAGTACTATTTATTTCCTCCGTGCAAGTTGAACATCTACCTTTCTGTTTGAGTCGTCTCAAAATCATGTTCACTTCAAGAAAATGTTGAAGCCACCTCTGACATTATCAATACAATTGTCTGTCCCTGCCCGTCGGGTATTGTTAGCACCTCCGCCGTTCTTGTAACCGTCACCTGTAATCCGTGCAGGTGTGTCTGCAACTCTTGAGTGACTAATCCTTTTTAATATTTTCTTTCCACTTCCTTTACAAGCGTCAAAATTTACTTGCTATTCACATTTTTCAACTTGATCGAGCTATTAAAAGAAAGAATGTAAGCGTGAAATGTCAAAAAAATTCATTTAACTAATTAAGTTTTTTAAGTAATATTAACATTTCAGAACTATGGAAATGTCAAAACTACTCTTTCTATCTCAAAGGAATGACAGGGTTTTGAGTAGAAGGGTGGAAGTATTTAACTCGAAAAATAACATTGTATAGCCGAGGTAAAAAATAATAGTCGAAAATATATATAAAATTTGTATATTTTTTGTATATATACATTCTGTATGTTATATACAAAAATTATACAAGTTTTATACACTTTTCGGCTACCAAATGTAAATGGTTTTTGGCGCGGCTAAAAGTGATAATACCCTATTTAATTTGTGTGAACTTGGACATCTTTACTAGTATATTTTATAGCTTAAGTAGAAGAAAATATTAAAATACATATTCAAAAGATGGTTTGTAATTTGACAGATTGAATTACAAAAATTCTGAGCATTATATAGTAGGGAAAACATTTTGGAATTAATAGTGTCAATATTATGGAGTATCTTGTATTAGAAAAACTAGCATATAAATTGAAACAAATGAAATATTATGTTTCAATTTATAAGCCGCGATTTTCTACAATCAAGAAAGAATTAAAAAAATCTTCAAATGATAAAATATTTGGCTCACCAAATTATAATGGGCAAAATATCTTAAACCACCCCTAAACTTGGCTCAGATTATTAGTATCCTCCCCGAACTATGTATGGTCTTAATTACCCCCCTCAACTTGGCCTTTTGAGAGCCATTACCCCCTAGACGCTGATGTGGCAAAAAGTGTGGGTGCACTCGCCTGCCACATGGATTTTTTTGTATATGTGACATTTTTTTGAAAATATATTTTTACCTTTTTAAGAATATTACTTTTTTAAATAATTTTTTTCGAATACAATTTATAATAAAATTTGGATAGAACTACATTATTTAGGTTAAATATTTTTATTTGGCCAAAAATAATAAAGTTTTAGTTAATCTTTTTTTGAATTTGACCTGAAAATAAAGATTTATACAATTGAAATAAATAGTCAAGGCATCTAAAAAGTTAAAAAAAATACATAGTTTGAAATTAATTATTTTGGCAATAATTTTTTATATAGCTCTAAATTATGGTGCTCTAAAAATATATTTTTTACAAATTTTACCTAAAAAAGTAAAAATACACAGTTGAAATAAATAGTCATTGCATCAAAAGAATAAATAAAAAGAGTGTACAATTGCAAGAAATAAAACGAATCATTTTCATTATACTGCAATTTCAAACTATGTATTTTTTGTAACTTTTTAGATGACTTGACTATTTATTTCAATTGTATAAATCTTTATTTTCAGGTCAAATTCAAAAAACGATTAACTAAAACTTTATTATTTTTGGCCAAATAAAAATATTTAGCCTAAATAATGTAGTTCTATCCAAATTTTATTATAAATTGTATTCGGAAAAAATTATCTAAAAAGGTAATATTCTTAAAAAGGTAAAAATATATTTTATTTTTCAAAAAAATGCCAGATATACAGAAAAATCTACGTGGCAGGTGAGTGCACCCACACTTTTTACCACATCAGCGTCTTGGAGGTAATGACTCTCAAAAGGTCAAGTTGATGGGGGTAATTAAAACCGAGCATAGATTGGGGAGGATACTAATTATCTGAGCCAAGTTTAGGGGTGATTTAAGGTATTTTGCCAATTATAATGTTATTTGAACTAATAGTCCGTTTGGCCAAGCTGCAAAAATCAGCTTATTTTGAAAAGTGTTTTTTTTTTCAAAAGTGTTTTTCTCAAAAGTATTTTTGGTGAGAAGTAGTTTGTGTTTGGCTAATTAGTTTGAAAATCACTTCTGAGCAGCGATTAGTGTTTGGCCAATCTTTTTTCTAAGTGTATTTTTCTCAAAAGTGCTTTTGGAGAGAAACTACTTTTTTCTGCTTCTTGTTAAAAGCACTTTTTAAGTTTGGCCAAACATCTCAATTTTTGGCCAAAAATACTTTTGGCAAAAAAAAAAACACTTTTGACCAAAAAGAAGCTTGGCCGCTAAGACTGGTAAAATTTCGAACTTAAACAAATAAAAGTTAATTAATCTTGAATCCACGGCGTGTGTATATTTGAATGCATTTAGCGTGGGTGTATTAAGTGTGAATTCATTAATAAATTCTACAACCCAATAATGGTGGAGTGGTTGGTGTCACGTTAGTAACGTGAGCAACATGTCGCGATATTCAAACGCAACTGTTAGATGTATAATAATTGACTTCCACATTTCTGATTGGTTCCTTGCTTTGACTATTCAGATTTTAGCAGCTATACTTTCTGAACATATCATCTTCTTGGATCGTGTTTACTAAATAAATCGCAAAATTACTTCTAATATTTTGAGTAAAAAGAAATATCAATAATTTTCTTTTGTAAGTGAGGCCCAAAAGATGAAATTAATCACGTATACTGGTTATGCTTCAGTACAATTAATGTAACTTTTAAAATATGTAAAATCACTTGTGGCTGTAGTCGGATATATAGTATATATTAGTTCTAAGTCTTGAGTTTCAAGTTACTGATTCAAGTTGCCTTTAGAGGATGTTGCCTATCAATAAGCCGGCTTATATAGAGGCGCACTTAGAATATTGGGAGTTGAACACATTCGTTTTCTGGCTTGTAAAAATTTGTAAACACGTCAGGTTTCTTCCACATGCATACGAAAAAAAAGTCGGCCATATTCGCTAATCAACTCAGCTTTACGCTCCCCCACTATATAGGTGCAGACTCTTGGCACAATATTATTTGCCTAACAGCTGCCAAAAGCGAAAGCTTCACTGTTAACGTGCTTATTGTCTTCTTTCTAATCCTAAAATGGGGGAAAGTAAGAGAGACTCCTCGAGTGGTTTGAAGATTTAACTTTTGAATCCATATTTAAAAAAAAAAAAACTTTAAAATCCATTTAGTTTAAACTCAGAATATACCGCTGCTTATACTAAAAAAAAACAACGTAAAAGCTCCTAGAAAATAAAATATTGATAAAAGAAATAGAACATTCTTATTTGGTGCCCCAATGGTTAGGGGTGTGCATTCGATTTATCGATTCGATTTTGACCCTTATTGATAATTACTTATCGATTATCGATTTGTACATATGCTTATCGTTATCGTTTCAATAAGGTTTCGATTTTTTCGATTTCGATTTATCGATTTTTGGGGCTTATCGATTTGGTTATCGATTACACCAATAAGAAAATTTGCAGGATTCCATGGAAAGTATATCGCTATAAACATGCCTAATTAATATGGACAAAAAGAAGTTAAAATAAGACGAACACCATTTATAACATAAAAATTGTGTCAACAAGCATATGAAACGAAACTAAAGTAAGGGATCAAATGTATGCCACCAACACTCCAACAGTATATAAAAAAAAATACATCATCACAACTAATTGTATTTTCCATTAATTTGAAATTCATTCCTTTGAGCTTTAAATATGATCATTCCTTAAACGTGGTAGATGAAATAATAGGGTTAGAGACTTAGGGTAAAGGAAAGGAGATTATAGAATAAGAGTTACTTTTTTTTTTAAGTATATTTAACCGAAGAGGACAAAATCAAAATCGAAATCGATAAATTTCGAAATCGAAATCGAAAAATCGATAAAATGATATCGATAAACCAACAGAAGGTATAACACGTTAATGCTTATCCCCCATATTAATGTCAGAAAGCTTAGCTAAAACAAATCAAAATGTATCTTAAATTAGATAATAGAAGATTTAAAGCAGGAAATATTGACGAGTAGAGAAATAATCAAAAGAAATCGACGAGTACTTAGCTAGTTAGTCTAAAATTTTAGTCCAAATGGAGTAAGTATTTCGCAACACATTAAATTAATAAAATCCAGTTTAAAGTGAAGCAAGTAATTTGCAATATAGTATACTAGTGAACTTTAATTGACACATAGTTTCTTTTTTAAAATCTTTTTCTCATAGTTAACTAATGTGTATTCTTATCTCAGTTTATTTTTTAATCATAATAAGTTTATATATATAATTTGATAGATAAACCGAACATCAATAGATATTTTCACCTTGAACAACTCCAATGAAGAAGGTAATTTGGAATGTAGCATAAAGTTTCAAATACTTTAGATAAGGAAAAAAAAAAATGAATTCAACGAATTTAGCAATAAACACATTTGTCATTTGACTCTTGCACGTCATACTTTACAAGTCGCGCATCTGTAACCCTACACATATATACAAGTCAAATAATTCCCCAATTTCAAGGCCCAAGTCCGCTATGACTGCGTAAAATAGGGAATCCCTCCATTTTAGCACATGCCACGTCGACATCAGGTGCCACGTGTAATAGGACATTCATTTGAGTTTTCTGACAGTCCGTCATTCTTGTCTTCCTGTCTTTTTTCTCTGCCACGCCATCAGCGTGACATTTTTTAAATTCCTCAATTATCACCTACCTAGGTGTCTGTGCCCGAGGCTGCAACTGAGTTCCACCGCTTTCTAAATCCAACTCAGCGGCGCAACTCGTTCCGGCCCGAGGTGAATGGCTAGCTCCGGTGGGCGTTTTCCTGTTCATACTTAGTATTCTTTTCAAAGATAATAATCGAGCCGCCGGTGACCTCGATTGACTCGCCGGTGAACTCAGTCTGAGTCCCATTTCCAGCTCGTCTTCTAACTCGTTCCTTGGTACCTCAATTCTCACTCCCGTAAGATCCAATCCTTTTCTCCGACCACCTAACGACGTCGTATTAACACTACTATTCTCTCCCTCCTGGTGCTGACACGTGTTGCAGAAACCGGAACTCGAACCCGGTTCAGCTGCTTCATTCAGCGTTACTGCTGCCTCAGCCCGGTTCTCACCCGGTTCGGTTACCGGTTCCACCGGAGACCGACAAAGAGGGCAAGTAGAATGAGAATGAAACCACATATCAATACACTCCAAATGAAAAGAGTGATTACACTTAGGCAAAACACGGCCATTTTCATTCTCCTCGAATTCCGATAAACAAACGGCACATTCCAGCGGTTCAGGGTGAGTCTTCGATGAATAAACAAAAGCCGGTAGCGAGTTAAGAACCGACGGTTCTAAACCCTGGTTCGCATCAGATAAACCAGAAGTAGGATTATCAACGTAGAACACTATATGGGTACGGCGATGGTGGATCCTACGGCGGCGGAGGATTTCACGGCGGCGCTGACGGAGAAGGTACCAACGAGCATAAAGATGAAGACCCACCATAAAAACAACAACGGCGAATAATATAACAATAGCGCTTAGCATTATCTTCCCGCTTAATGCATAGCCTTTGGATGATGAATTAATTAACGGATCGTGAAGCATACTTGGGCTATCGTTATCCATTATAGAAATTAAAATGTAGAAAAAGATAGCACACAGAAAAATAGGTGATGTGAATATGTATATATAAAGAGGAAGAAGGAACAAGGAAAGTTCTTGTTGGTTTCGGTGGAAAAGGAAGAGTTTAGGTAAGGTGGTTTTAGTAGTGAGAGTTGCAGAATAATGTGATATTGGAAATCTATAACTATAAGACGCCATTGTTGACGCGGGATTGCCTAAATGACTGAAATGCCCTTAGATCTTCCCGCGTGAACACAGTGGAATGTTTGTTAATTAGAAGTGAAATGAAATGGAAAAGGTTTGTTAGGTTCGTTGAATTATGAAAGTAGTTAAGTTTGCTGTTTAAAGTTGCTTTAGTGATCCGGTTACTTAATTCCATTAATGTATTTTCATTTATGACAAAGACATAACTACTCTCTCCGATTTACAATTATTTTCGTTCTATACTATTCTATCGTCGTTGGGATAAAACACGAGAAATGAATCTGATATGGTTTGAATATGTGAAGAGAGGAGGAGCACAAATTCCCCAGTAAGAGTGCGGAGGTTTGCAGTTATAGGTCTAAAGAGAGGTAGAGGTAGTCAAGGAAGAACTTAGGTGAGCAGATTAGACAAAACACGACACATCACCAAAAAATACCTTGGAGCTCGACGATTAGGATAGAAGGTTAGTAGATAATCGATTGATATCTCGCTTTTCTATGGAAAAATATAGTTCTAGGTTAGAGTATCTTATCTGCTCCATCTTCTATTTTTTTTTTGCTCCATCTTCTATTTATCAGTATTATTATTAGTATTCTAGCATTATATCTTATTCGTCAATTTATTACTACTGTTGTTTAATTTCTTTTACTTTAATTTGGATCTCTGTACTGTTTTTGTTGGCAATACTTTTCTTTTTTTTTTCCCTTCATTATTTGCATCACAACTTTTATATTCTTGTATTTTTAAAGTATGTTTAGAAAATTCTTTTTTTGAGCCAATGATTTATTGAAAATAATTTTTTTGCGTCACACAAAGTAGAGGTAAGGTCAACGTATATCCTGCCCTTCCCAAATTCCCCACATGAAATCACATTAGGTATGCTATTGTTGTTGATTCTATATTATTTCGTTTTTTAGAAGTTTTATACAACTTATAAAAAGCAATATTTACTGCAGCTATAATTATCAAAATTTTGGCTTTTAATATTATTTTTCTTCAGCATTTTTTAATGAGTGAATACCATAGTAAGTGATCCGTAATAGCATTGTTTATCTCGAAAATACGAGTAACAATTAAACTTGTTTATGATTTTAAAGATATGCGATTTAATTCAATATTAGTTAATAACCAAGAAAACAAACGTATAAATTAAAGACGTAAGCTAAATCAAACCAACGCTTAAGCCAATCTTGACCTCGAGCTGTGATGGCCTCGAGGTAGGTCCTCAAGAACAGTAAAGTAAAGACAGTAAAGTTAAGAGCCAATTCTGATGAGTAATAAACAAGAAAGCAAGAGAGTATATTCGTTTGCCAATGACTGATGATCGTTACAAATGATTGGGGTCCCCTTTATATAGTAGGGAAACCCTAAATAAGGTACATTTCTATTTACAGTAAGGAATCTTATTGGGACAGCTGTCTAACTACCTGGTACGGATTCGTACTAACTCGTACAAATCTATTCTGAAATTTACGCCATGATCTTGGGGATGTGGCGGGAATCTTGCTCTTTCTGTTACAAACCCATAACGACATCATCTCGGGATTGGTCATACTAGGCTTCGGTGCTCATCGCGTACTTCGATCTTCGAGCCTTATATTCTGCCTTCGAGCTCGAGCTCGATCTATATTGAACTTGTTCTCGATGCGACCCCTCGAGCCTACAAAATCGGGGACATACGATTTTGACCGAATACAGATAGTCCCCGCGTTTCTTAGAATAAAATGACAAGAAACGACTTGAGTCTCGATTTTACGGAGTCCTTGGTGGTGACATCATTCCCGTGACGTAGGCGCTCGAAATGACCGGAACGTCCCGTCAGTTCACTTCCCCAAAACATTAAATGCTTCTCCAGTGGTGGTCGACCACTAGCGCTGTTAAACTGTCGCTGCTTTCCTATAAATACAAGGTTTAATTTCGGAAAAACTTTACTTCGATCCTCTAACCTTCTCCAAACTTCTTACATATCTCCCTATCTTCATTTTTTTTCTCTCATCACCTGTTACTCCCGTTTAGTGTCAGAAATTACCAAACTCCGCCTATCTCTACCTCTTTTAACTTGAATCAATGGCAAAAACTTCAAAGACAGTTCCTCAAAAGGAGAAAGCTTCTTCCTCCTCTTCCCGGCCGACCAAACTTATGGTGCTGACCCTTCATGAGATTATTCTCGGCCCCTATGTTATAAAGAAAGACTTGAATATTGAAAATCTCCCCGCAATCCCTGGCTGATACGAGCATGTATCCCGATATATTAGTTCGATAACGAAGAAGCATCTCAAGGCCGTGAAGAAAGACTGTGGCTGGGGGGACGAGGTTGTGGTACAGATCCCCGACCCCGAGGAGAGCATTACCACTAATGTGGAGGGGTTCCTAAGTGTTAACACTTACCCCTTTACATTGGTCCCCTTAATCCAGTCGTGATCGACTTCTGCAAAAGATATCAAGTCACCCTCGTCCAGATCCACCCCTTCTTCTGGCGCATAGTGATTATGCTTCGCTACTTCTCTAGCAAGGCCGAAGGACTATAGTTCACCCTCAATCACCTCATCCGACTGTATTGGCCTCAACTTTACATAGGGTTCATCAAGCTCCAACGTCGATCGAGAAAAGCCTTCTTTGCTAGCAATGAAGAGGATAAGGACCGAGGATGGATGAGCCGGTTTGTTTGAGTGAGGACCTCGGACGTCATCCCTGAGGGAAAAATGGCGTTCCTAGAGAAATGGAACCCCAATCGTAAGTGAAGTCCTTTCCCCAATATCTTCTTATATTCTGTTTTTGCATTTCGTAATGCCTTTACCTTTTTTGCAGTTGTTGTTTGGATTCCCCATGCGATCCTCGACCTCGAAGACTGGGTCCGTAAATTAGCTGCGGCCTCCTCGTATGACAAGCACAAATGGCATGACTTGTCGAGGGGCATATGGGAGGCCAAGCACCACGGTTAGTTCTTCTCCCAGGTCTTTGATGCTTTCCCTTTTATTGGAGATGTTATCTCACTTATGCCTATGTTTAATTTATGAAGGAATTAGAGATATCTCCGAAATGAGGCCAGCCCCGTCCGGGGAAGAGACCGAGTCCCCGGTTCCAAAATTGGGGAAAGATAACAAGAGGAAAAGGGCTTCGAAACCTGATGACCCTCAAGATAAGAGAGACCCTGCTCGAAGGCAGAGAAGGAAACTTATTCAAGTGGACATGGACTCAATCCACCAACTGAATGACGGAGAAGAGGACAAGGGCGAAGAGTCGGCGCTGGTGACCCGAGCCAGAAAGCCAGTTGAAGTCGTCATGCCTTCCAAATCGGAGACCCTGTCTCATTGTGAGGAGGCTCCGAAGAAAAGCATAGGCAAAGACCCCGAATCACCTGAGTTCGAGATCGTTCCCCTGCCTCCAACAAGCACACCGAAGGGGAGAAGTACCGAGATACCTAGATTTAAACATAGTGCCCTGAGCGATATACTCAGGGCCTTGACAATAGGTCATTATCCTCCTCTACCAACTTATTCTGAGGAGGCAATAAGGGAAGCTCAAGATCTGCAAATGCCTGACCCGAGTCGAGTTCCCGGTGAAGAGGATCCTTTCAAGGATTACTTTACTAGGGTCGATGAGGCTGCCGACCTCAACGATGCATCTATCCTCTTCGAAAAGGCTCACCATTTTTTTTCTCGGGTAAGGATTTTCTCTTATTGTTGCAATTCTTTCTTTTTCTTTTACACTAACTGATATCTCTTTTTCTGTGTAGGCCATTACCAGGTTTAAGGCCGAGCTCAAGAAGTCCTCGGATAAAGGGAAGGCCCTGAGGCTCCTTTGCAGCCAAAAGGAGGAGGAGCTCAAGGACCTCCGGGCAGACTTGGCCAAAGCTCGTCAAAATGAGGTCGGGTTAGACAAGCAAGTAACCATCATTTTGCAAGGATATGGTCTACTTGACCTGACTGTGGAGGCTAACACTTTAGTGTCTCAGTTGCAACAAAAATTGGATATGATCGGACAAATTCAAGGGGAGGTCGATCAAGTTAAGGCCGACTACAACTAATGGAAGGAAAATATGGATCGGCTTAGTGCTGAGAAAGAGGCTGCTCTAGCCAATCTGGCCTCGGATGAGACCCAGCTCTAGGGAGTAAAAGTGAAAAATCTGGCCCAGGCCAAGAAGATCGATGAGCTCGAGGCCAAACTTGCTGCAATTGGGGCTGAGGTTGCTGAAACGAGGTTCGAGATCGAGAAGGTGAAGGCCACGACTGATAAAACTGTTGCTGTGTACCTAAAGGATGCCGATGCTGCCCAAATGGAACTAAGGGAAGCCTCCAACAAGGAGAAACGGATCAGTGATTTGGCCAAGTGCCAATCCCGGAGGGAGACCCTCGAAGAGATCCATGCTCGAGGTTTCGACCTTACCGAGGAGATAGCCCAAGCAAAACCACTCGAAGCTGACGCCAAGTTCCTCGTCTCCTCCTTCTCCTCCGATGATGATGCCGAAGGCAGCCAAAGTGGGTTCAATAATGAAGCTGGGCCCGAAGAGGAAGCTGCTCCCGAGGGAGAGACCAGCCCAGGGTATAAATATGATTTACCTTTCTTCTTGTATTGTTGTTCTTTGTAAGACCTTTCATCGGTCCATTGTATATATCTTTTTCCAAATATATAAAAGAAGAATTTCGTTGAATGTTTTCTCAATGTTTCCTGCCTTGTAAAATTCTTACAATGACTTTATCCTTCTTAACTGTGTGTTTGAGATTTTATCTCAGATGTTTTCTTTGAAATTGCCATGGCCAAGTTAGAATAAGTTTGAACTTTTAGGCATACAACTTTACGGGCTCGTGCTGGATAATGGTGAGTCCCCGAGCCATGATCAAGCCATTATTTGTTTAGGCTCGGGATAATCGAACCATTGGGTTCGAATTGAGTGAGAGCGAAGTCTCGAACCCTATTTGTATCGACCTTTAGGCTTACTAAATCGGCCTCTAGGCTCTTT